TACCGTCTTGTTCTCTCTTGTGTTCTCGCCTCTCTTGTTACTGACCCTCGTGCCTCTCTGTCCTCTGTCTCCGCTCTTACTGCCGCAGTCACTGAGTTTGCCTCTACTCGCCGCCTTGACTACGCCACCAGTCTTGTGGCTGCTCCTCCTACTAGTTTTTGGCCGTCGGGGGTGAGTCTGCCCTTGGCTGTGACGCCCTAGAGGACAGGCAGTTTGAGCTAGAGTTCCTGGCAGCCGCTTCCCCTCATCTTTGTGCCATGGCATGTGGATGAGCGGCCCTGAGGGAGACCCCGACGCCCTTGACATACCGACTCCTCGCACTTACGCTTGGGCCTCTCAGTGGAGAGCTGCCATGGACGCAAAGATGGCCTCCTACAGATCCACAAGCACCTACGTCGACGAGGTTCCCCCCCCTGGGGCGAACGTAGTCGATGGCATGTGGATCTTCAGGGTGAAGCGGCCACCGGGATCTCCTCCGATCTTCAAGAGGTTTCAGTCAGCGCGAGGGAGTTGACTTCTTTCAGACCTTCGCGCCTACCCTGAAGATGACCACTCTTCGGGTGTTACTGCACGTAGCAGCACAGAGAGACTACTAGCTACATTCTCTTGACTTTTCCATTGCCTTCCTTCAGGGTTGCCTACACGAGGAGGTCTGGCTGTGTCGTCCCTCTGCCTTCACTGGCACTTTCCCTCCTGGGACCCAGTGGAGGCTGAGACGACCGGTCTACGGTCTTTGTCAGGCCCCTCATGAGTGGCACGACACCCTTTGTTCTTCCCCGTCTGACCTCGGTTTCCAGCCGTCTTCTGCCGACCCGTCGCTGTTCGTTCGTCGTGGCTCCACACCGTTCTTTGTACTGGTCTACGTCGACGACCTGGTTTTCGCCACTGCTGACAGGGTTGCTTTGGCTGACGTGAAGTCCGAACTGCAGAAGAGACACACGTGCACTGACCTTGGTGAGCTGCGCCACTACCTTGGCCTGCAGATCACCAGGGACAGAGCCGCTCGCACCATTACACTCTCACATTCACACATCGTACAGCAGGTTCTTTAGCGGTTCGAGCTTCAGCACTCCTCAATACAGCGCACTCCTCTTGCTGTTGACCACAGACTCACTGGACCCTTTCCTGATGAGCCGTTTGAGCCTAGTGGTCCTTACGTAGAGCTTGTGGGCTGCCTCATGTACCTGATAACTTGTACTCGCCCGGACCTCGCCTTCCCTCTCAGCATCCTTTGTCACTTTGTTGCGCCAGGGAGACACCGTCCTGTTCACTGGACAGCAGCTGTGAGGGTGGCGAAGTACCTAGCGACGACATCAGGCGTGGGGCTGGTTCTTGGAGGGCAGCAGTCTGTCGTACTTACTGGTCACTATGACTCTTCTTACGCTGACGACGCTGAGACTCACAGGTCTACTCAGGGGTACTGCTTCAGCCTGGGCTCTGGAGCTGTTTCGTGGAGGTCCACGCGTCCCTCCTCGATCTCGACCTCTACAGCTGAGGCTGAGATCTATGCTGGTGCCATGGCGGCACAGGAGTTGCGTTGGTTGACCTTCTTGCTCGCCGACCTTGGTGAGCGGCCAAGCTCTGCACCGACCTTGTTCACTGACAACAAGTTGTCGATTCTCCTCTATCAAGAGCCGTGACTGGAGAGCAGAGTGAAGCACATTAACGTCAGGTACTTTCTTCTGCGAGAGTTGCAGAGACGTGGACAGGCTCGCTTCGAGTTTGTGGAGTCCAAGGCCAACACTGCAGACATCTTCATCAAGGCGCTTCCGCCTTGTGACCACCAGAGGTGTTGTGTGCAGTTGGGTCTAGTTGACACAGGTTCTCGTCTTGCGTAGACTTGAGTTGACTTCTTGCTTTGCTAGTACGCTTTACATATACCTCTGTGAACTCTTGGACTGGCCTTGTGGCCCCTTTTGCTTGTGCTTAGACTGTGTGGTGACGTTGTGATCCACCCTGAGCTTTGTTTCTTGTGACTGGTCTTGTGACCGTACTGTGTTGGTTTTGCTAGACACCCCTCACTTAGGCTATGGGGGTGTGTCAAATGTTGTAGCCTATAGTGAGGCATGTCATATGGGGTACAGTTGTTAGGGTTAGGTTTATGTACCCCAACCAACATTGTCAATGCAACGCATTCGATTCTGACAGCTAGTGACCAAGAAATCGGAGCAATACTGATGCAGTATTGCGGACACGGTTTGCAGCCCAAGGCCTGCCTCAGTAAGAAGCTACACGGAGCTGAACTGAATTACCCAATCCACAACAAGGAAGCCTTAGCGATAGTCACAGCCTTCAAGGCATGGAGGTGTTACCTAGAGGGAGCCAAGACTACAGTTTACACTGACCACTACAGTCTCAAGTATCTTAAGTCAAAGCCTACACTCTCACGATGACAAGTATGGGGGATGGACTTCGTGGAAACACACTTCCACCATGACAATATCTTCAAGCCAAAACTACAGAACAAGGCCGACACACTAAACCGCCCAGGGCACGTAGCAGGCATCCAGCTTGACGGGATGAAGCAACTACTCAAGCGTCTCTTCCAGCATGGGTACTCTGTGGATGTAGTGATCGCTACAGCACAGAAACAAAAACTTTTACAGTGGGAGAAAGACTTAGCTGTAAGGAAGGGTTCAACAAAGTTTTGGGTACCGAATTATGCCCCTCTCCGACAGATCTTACAGGAGGAATTTCACGACGTAGCATTTCGGGAGCAAGACGTTAGCAGGGATAGCAAAGTATTACTACTGGCCCCAGATGGCAGCAGACGTGCAGCAGTTTGTCACCTCATGCGACACGTGCCAGTGGATGAAGAGTAGCAAGCAGAAAAAAGCAGGGTTACTTCAGCCTCTACCCGTACCAGAGCAGCCATGGAAAGTTGTCAGCCTAGACTTCATCGCTAGGCTTCCTTCGACCTCACGAAGGCTCGATGTTGTACCCATGGTGATCGACAAGTTCTCTAAAATGGGACACTTCATCCCGACCAACGCCACCGCCACAACTGAAGCAACTGCTCGCCTCTTCTTCGACCGCATCATCACCATCCACGGCATCCCCGCCACTCTCATCTCCGACAAAGACCCAAGATTTACGAGTAAGTTTTGGAGGGAACTCATGGTATTGTTGGGGTCATAACTTGCAAATTCTCAAGTGTACCACCCACAGACGGACGGACAGACTGAGTAGTTGAATTAGGTTGTTGAACAGTTACTGTGCACAGCTTGCAAATACGACATCAGCCACTAGGATCCACAGTTACTGACGCTTAAGTTCGCTTACAACAATGCTTCACATGCAGCCACAGGAAAATCTCCTTCCTTCCTGTGCTACGGACGAGAACCCCTTACGCCAAAGTAGCCAACTAGACCGACACACGTCCAAGCCGCATACGACTTCGTATCCACCATGCAACAGTTATGGGAGAAACTCAGCTGCGTCTCACCACGATGCAGACTCCCAGAAGCAGTACGTCAATCGACAACGACGTGATCACTCGGTAGCAGTCGGAGATCAGGTACTCTTCGACACACGTAGCTTGGAATTGTCCCATCTTCCGTCCAAACTCCGGCCTCGCTTCTGTGGTCCCGTTTGCGTTGAGGAGAAGGTGACACTAGTAACATTTCGTTTGCACTTACCATCTACGTGGAAGCTTCACAGGGACGGTAACTACCGCCATCACCCCCTGTACTCGTACAGGATGGACCAGAGTACCAAGGTAGAACGCGTTCTCACTCATCGGTGCCGCGGCGGCAAGACCCTCAAGTTTTTGATGCGCGGGAATGGATATTACCCACCAGAGGATAGTTGGGTTGCAGAATCAGATATGGGCAACACATGCCATGCTCTCAAGGATTATCTTGTTAAACAAGGTGTTTGTTCCCCACTGCTGCAGCCGCTCCTCTTCCCGCTGCTGCAGCCACTCCTTTGCCCGCTGCTGCAGCCGCTCCTGTGCCCGCTGCTGCAGCCGTTCCTGTGCCCGCTACTGCAGCCACTCCACTCCCCACTGCTGCAACCGATCCTGTCCCCGCTGCTGCAGCCACTCCTCTCCCCGCTGCTGCAGCCGCTCCTGTGCCTGCTGCTGAAGCCACTCCACTCCCCGCTGCTGCAGCCACTCCTATGCCCGCTGCTGCAGCCACTCCTGTGCTCGCTGCTGCAGCCACTCCTGTGCTTGCTGCTGCAGCCACTCCTCTCCCCACTGCTACAGCCACTCCACTCCTCGCTGATGCAGGCACTCCTCTTCCCGCTGCTGTAGCCACTCTTGTGCCCGCTGCTGCAACTTCTCCACTCCCCGCTGCTGCAGCCGCTCCACTCCCCACCATTGTAGCCTATAAAATCCCCTTTACAACAGCCAAGCCTTTCCCCGCTGCAGCGACAGCGGCATCGCCGTACTCCACTCCAACCTCATATCCCGTGGCAACCACCTCCCACTATTTCCCCTAGGTTTGCAGCAAGCTCTCCCGCCTTATCAACTATTACGGCGCCTGCCTCTGCCATCCTCTCATCACCCGCCACTACATCAATCCCAAGCCTGGCATGCGGTACTGGACCATCTCCTGATGCAGAGGCAAGCCCTTCATGCGAAAGGCTATCATTCCCCATCGTCGAAGTGGTATCGACCCCCACATCAGCACGTGGAGCGCCTAGATCTCCCTCGCAGAAAATCAGGGATGGCGGCATTCGACACACGACTATTGAGATGGGCAGCACATGCAGTATGCGCTGTTTGGATACGCTCATGCCCCCTCAAGCTTCTAGGGGGGGTGGGCGAACCAGCAGTACTCAAGGTGACAAGGGTATGGCGTCCATTGCCACTACACTTAGGGAAGGACTGACTCATACTGTGCAACGTAAGAGCTCGTGTCCCCGCGCCTGTTCGCCTTTGAGAATCTGTTTGTCAAATTATCTTGCAGTTGTGCAATCCCCTCCGTGCATGTTATGATCCACCCCTGGCGGTGCTCTATTTGGCTCTCTTTTTCATATTCTACATATGGTTTCCCCTACTTCATGAAACATTGATGATTCGCACACCTTCATATGGCATCCTATTCCCCCCTTCTTCCACGACATTGCCACTCTATGTTGGATAGTGACCCACATGTTACGTGATTTCCCCCCCTTTCCCCCCTCCCAACCCCCCCCCCCCGGTAGAAAACTCTTATGACTACTGTCTACCTTGCACATGCAACAGGAATAGTAAGGGACATGACCGATGTCTCTCATGCAAACAGAAATATCGTGATTATACGCCTCATTCGCAACCCTCGCGATGCTGTTGCGTTTGAGAAAATGGATGACGGGTTGAGGCGCATGTTCATTGCTGCCTTGTTGCTTGAGTTGGATCCCCACACGCCCTTCGACGACCCCGAAAATGCATACAGTCTCGCTATTCGTGGGTGGCGTTGTGAAAGCAGATGATGGAGAGGAGGTGGAGAGGAGGTGAGAGTGAGAGCAGAGAGGGTTGAGGAAGCAGAGGAGGGTGAGAGAAGAGAGAGAGGAGGAGAGGGATGAGTGGGGGGATGGTGAGGAAAAGGAGAGGGAGGAGAGGGTGGGCATCCTTGTCATGGAGAAGAAGGTGCGGTCAGTGAGTTGAGAAACCAGAAGAGGGTGATGGAAGAGTAGAGGAAGAAGAAACAGGAGTAGCAATGGCAAGGGAGGGAGCATAGAGGGTAGATGGAGTAGAGGGAGAGGGAGGAGAGGGAGGAGAGGGAGGAGAGGGAGGAGATGGAGGAGAGGGAGTAAAGGGAGGAGAGGGAGGAGAGGGAGGAGAGGGAGCAGAGGGAGGGGAGGGAGGAAAGGGGGGAGAAGGAGGAGAGGGAGGAGATGGAGGTAATGGAGGAGATGGAGGGGAGGGTGGAGAGGGAGGGGAGGGTGGAGAGGGATCAGAGGGAGCAGAGGGAGGGGATGGAAGAGAGGAAGCAGAGGGGGGAGAGGGACGGGAGGGTGGAAAGGGAGCAGAGGGAGCAGAGGGAGGGGAGGGGGAGAGGGAACAGAGGGAGCAGAGGGAGGGGAGGGTGGAGAGGGAACAGAGGGAGCAGATGGAGGAGAGGGAGGAGAGGGAGCAGAGGGAGAGGAGGGAGCAGAGGCAGGGAGGAGAGGGAGGAGAGGGAGGAGAGGGAGCAGAGTGAGCAGAGGGAAGGGAGGGAGGAGAGGGAGGAGATGGAGCAGAGGGAGGGGAGGGAGGAGAGGGAGAGAAGGAAGGAGAGAGAGGGAAGGGAGGAGAGGGTGGATATGGAGGAGAGGGAGTAGAGGGAGGGGATGGAGCAAAGGGAGCAGAGGGAGGATAGGGAGGGGAGGGAGGAGAGGGAGCAGATGAAGCAGAGGGGAGGGAGGGAGGAGAGGGAGGAGAGGGAGAAGAAAGAGAGGAGGGAGTAGAGGATCAAAGGAAGGAGAGGGAGTAGAGGGTGAAGAGATAGGAGATAGAGTAGATTGAGCAAAGGGAAGATAGGGAGGAGAGGGGGGAGAGGGAAGAGAGGGAGTATAGTGTGCAATGCAGAAGAGGGAGAAGTTGGGAAGAGGGATTGACATTTCTGACCGATACTCTATATTGGGAGAAGAGGTTTTACGTTCATAATTTTAAAAGACGATTGAGTGTCACATCAATTAGATGCATGCCACATGTTAAGGCAATTGTTTCAAACATTTAATGTGCAGGGCAGCACTGCGTGGTTAAGCTGGTTTAAATCTCTACTGGTAACTCCAGGCCGACGTAATGCCCATATTGCAGCAGCTATGCTGTCCCTTCTAGTGCGCCCTTTGTGTGCAAAGGCAGTAATTCGTAGTGGTCTCTGTTCTTCGCTCCGTCCTTGGCACGGTGGTCTTGATACGGGGCCCCCCAATGTGTGCCCTGCTCTTGACTTCAAAGTCTTCCCCTCCGAAATGCTTCACAAAGTTATGGATTCTCATGTCGTGATAACAATGTTGCATTGGGTGGACAAATTATATGGTCGCATGAACTTTAGGATAGGAAACCTCGCTTTGAGTTGTCTGAACGCACACTCTACGTGACAGTGCAATGATGAGTGCACCCCTTTGAACAGCTCCTAGCGGTTGCATGGTAGAAAATATGCATTCCTAGATTGTTGCAAGTGACACAGGTGCGTTCGAGAAGGTGTCAAGTAGCTTGAGTCGTTGCGGAAGCCGGAATCGGCTAACAAGTACTTTGTGCATGACAACGTGAACCCACGGGCCAATGCATCCGACCACAATGTGGCGTCGTGTGTTGAGCCTTCCCATCCTATAAGGCAATATATGAATTGATGCGTCGTGTGTTGAGCCTTCCCATCCTACAAGGCAGTATATGAATTGATCATGAAAATCTATTGCAGCTAGTATGTTTTGGGATATGTTTCCATGCCTACCTGAAAACTGCGTTTGGTGATTAACATGAATGTGAGCCAAGATGAGCTTTCTATCTAGCGCTTTGATCACATCATGGAAGTATGCATATTCCGGTCGCAGGTCGAACACCGCAGAATGGTCATGAGATTGCATGCGAATGAAATCGCTTCGCAACTCGCATATCGCGCGGACGACAACCCCTACGTATTGCGATATATTGGACCCTCTACGCTGCCATCTCTATTGTAGGGTTCGAATCGTGGAAGTGTTCCTGACCAGCTGGAGGAATATCATGAGCTGTTCGGAAGATGTAACATGTCGCCCGTCGACGAGGAGGCACCAGGTTTATAACATCTCGTGTAACCTACAGAAAAATCGTGGCTCCATGCGCAAACTCTCTCTCATATACTCCAGATGACCGGTAAGCAGTTCGTGTGCATACGCACTGCCACGCAACACTGAGGTGTGTTCAGGGGTGGGTGCGGGTCTAGGTGGAACACGACCAGCTATTAATTCTTGCACTAATCGTAGCAATAATTCTAACGCGGTGTGCATTGACATAAGACTTACAATCCTAATAATTTGGGTGGAAACGTCCAGATTGTCACTATGCGGAGATAGTCTTAGTGGATAATATGGGAGACGGGTGTCCATAGCGCTAGGTCTTCATGGTCTCGAATTGGAAAAGTGAGGGGACGGGTGAATCGTCAGTTAGGGTTATAGGAGCAGAAACGTTTTCATTTTTTTCCCCCTTTTGTTTGCTCTGACCGTTGGCACAAGCAAGACTGGCTCTAGGCAAAAACCCTTCATTTTGTGGAAAACGTTGGACGGGTTCATCGAAGATTGCACCGTTCTCCATTTAGGTGGAAATTGTGTTTCTTTTGTGCGCACAGTGCAGCAACCTGTTAAATTTGCTGGGGTGTATCTAAGCTGTCAGAACAACACGATCACACAAGTTGCATTTTCTGCAAACCCATTCTGTTTAATTCATTTGATCAGCCACATCGTGCATTTCTGCTGCCGAATAAGGTTTGAGATATGGGTTCGTGGCGACAACGATTGATGCAAGAAGAATCTAATGCTTCTCCCAAGCGTTTCCCCCGTTCACGCAAAGCCCCTACATGCACGACACACATATTTCCCATTTGCGCAGAAATAGCACCCCTTATCCACCACGGGTCTCTGTTGCGCGGCAATCTAGCCCACACATTATTTTTGTGTTTCACTTCCACCATACATGTGCAATATGACGAAGCACGAGGCGCCGGGTGGTATACGCCACAACTTGCAATCGTTGCGTCTAGCGACCAGGCGCCAATGTCCCTTGAATTCACCAATGAATCATTCAGTGGCCATTTGTGTAGCACTCTGACAGTAGTTGATGCGGAGATAACTACTACAACGGGAGCTAGACTACGGGCTAGGCACGGGTGCTCGTGTGATCTCTGCGTTCGTTGGTCCTTAGTCGTTTTCCTAGTGTACACACTGCTTGCTAGTTCACAAGGTAATTTGGCAAGAGTTTTACTAGAGAAAGTTGACAACAATGATACAATGAAGTTGGCAAGGCAAGACTACATCAGAGCTAGCATGCAAGCAGGACGACTGCCAGCGCAGCACGGTCGACCGCGTGCCAGCACGACTTGGTCGACCGCGCCCCAGCAGTGCAGAGTCGCGGCTTGCCAACACTGCAGGTCGACGGCGTGCCAACGTCGCAGGTTGACGGTGCGCCAACGTTGCTCCTGCAGAACAGCAGCGCACCTACTTCGCAGGTGCTCGCAGATGATTGGCGTGCAGTGCCTCGTCACCTGCACAGCGCACACACCACATCAACTTCGTGCTGACGACTGCTTCTGATGCACCACGTCGACCTCGGGATACCATCACCGAGGTCGTCCTCGCCAAAACCACCTGGGCGAACGTCGCATGCCTCCGCAGAACCTCGTCACCCAGGTAACCTGGTCGACCGAGCAACCAGGTCGACCAGAGGCTCCTGTGCGTGCCCGTCGACCACCCAGGTCGACGACCACTTCCGGTCGACCTCCCCAGGTCGACCACTGCCTCTGGTATGTGCCGGTCGACCTCCCAAGTCGACGGCCACCTCCAGTCGACCTCCCCAGGTCGACCACTACCCCCTGGTCGACCAGCTCCAAGTCGACGTCACTCCAGGTCGACCCGAAGGTCTGGTCGACTCCTCAGGTCGACCAGAAGGGCTGGTCGACTTACCGGGTCGACCAGAAGGTCTGGTCGACTTCCCAGGTCGACCAGAAGGGCTGGTCGACTTACCGGGTCGACCAGAAGGTCTGGTCGACTTCCCAGGTCGACCAGAAGGGCTGGTCGACTTACCGGGTCGACCAGAAGGTCTGGTCGACTTACCAGGTCGACCAGAAGGTCTGGTCGACTGCCCAGGTCGACCACCCGAAGTTGGCGCCCTCACGAAGTCGGCGCCCATGCAGTGGCTCCCCGTGCAGGTCGACCAACCTCGTCGACCAACTCGCCCACTGCTGCAGGTCGGCTGCACCCTACACCCGACCACGAAGTCGGCACCGCCCAAGCGAGGACGGGGCCAACATATAACTCCCGTTGACAGTTGAAGCATTGCTCCCGGTAAACCATTAGCATCTCGCGACACGATGCATGCAAGGGGGTTAAGTAGAAGTTACTGAGTGGGTAGGATGCATCGCCTTCTAGTTGGTATGGGGCGATGTCTCCTCTTTTTAACCATTCGTGTAGTGCACTATTCATGAATACCCTTTGGTTCTTGGGATTCGCAAGATACCATATGAGGTAATCCAATATAACACCTCGTGCATCACATGTAAGCCGAAGCTGCATTACGTATTCTCACTTTATAGCATTATATTATGTCTGATGCCCCTCGATCCCTTTCATCTCGACATCTGTAATGTCAATAGCCCCTATTACTACATGTATTTTCTTTATGGCATAAAACTTCTCTGCCATTACATCAAGCACTTCACGCGCCAGGAAACGAACTCAGTCTACCTTGAAGAACGAAGGGAAGCGCACGAAGAAAATTTTGACCAACTCGTGAGACAAGGTTTTCATGATGCCGCAATGGAATGAAATGCCAATGACTGAAATCTCGCTGGCTACATACTTTATCTCGACCAGTATTGTTGCATCCATCGTAAAACGGTTTCGCTCGATGACGGGTTTCATATAGTGGTACATGCCTTCCTTGATGTGCTCCAATATGGCGGGTTTAATTTAATAAAGCTCCCTAAAATTAGCAATCTGCATAGCATCCTCGTCGTTGAAAGAGTACGACGACTTTTCAGGACTTTACTTGCTTGATTCTACTTTTTTACGCATTATCTAGCTTAGCTAGAATGTACGAGGTCAATGTGTCCTCGTTGAGCGTCGCCCGCGTGCTCGGCGCCATCGACAGCCGCTTCAACAGGTTGTAGCTGCTCGGGAGTCCCTGCATGACATGGGTGACGTACGACGCCGTCGAGTACTCCGCGCCAGCCATCCTGATGGTGGCGAGAATCCGCCGAGCTCGGTTGCAGTAGTCTGTCGGTGACCTGGTACGTCGACTCAATGAAGTGCCACGCCTGGTGGCCGGCGTCGAGGTACTCTCGGCACCACTTCAAGGCGATCTGCATGCCCGGCGAGCAGCACCGCGAGATGACCGTGAAGGTCAACAGCTGCACGGCGCGAAACTCCGCACGCAAGTCGGGGTCGTCCGGCGTCTCCACGGTACCACGAGCAAAGTTGATCAGCCCGGCCATCTCCAGCTGGGGCTCGATGGCTTCCTTCCAAGTGAGTATGTCCTGTCGACCAACGAGCGGTGGAGCGACCGAGATCCTGTCCGGCGTAAACTTGAAGTAGCCATAGCTCGGTGCTATCCCGCCCGCCTGCTGTCACCTGGGTCGCCGACATCGGCGACAATCCGCTTCGTCGTCCTCCGACGTCACCCTGCGAGAACCCTGCAGCCGCCGACGACCGCATCCCTCGCGCCTGAACGCCGCCGACTTCATCGGCGTGTATCACACCACGCTGCCTCGACGTGCCTCCCGCACTGCAGCCGACTTGGTCACCACCAGCGTTGACGCCCACGTCGACGCCGCCCTCGGTGTTCACCGGTCGAGGAGATGCAGGCCGAGAAGGAGGGTGCTCCGTCGCCCACACGGAGCGGATGCCAGCCTCGACGACCGCCCAGGGGA